GTATAGTATAAGGTTAAATATACTACCCGTAGAATTTAGATAATATATAATTGGTAATTGATTGCTATTTTTTTTTTTTTTAATTCTTATTAGGAAATACTATATATATTTTATGTCAGCCATTTATTTTACAGGGAAAAAAAAAAGTTTTATAAGGAATCCTAAAATTATAAAAATATAGACTATATAATTTGAGTTATTCAATAATTAATATGCAGTAGCTGGACAATATAGTGTTATCATGCTTTCTAGAAATATAAATTACTATATTATCATCAAATAAACTAAATATTAATTAACAAAAAAAAAAGAGGGGAAATTCCCTCCAAAAGGTTTCACTTTAGTATATAGTATAGATTTCAGTGATGGTTTGGGGTGTGCACACGGCCCCCAAAAATTAGATATATCAATATTAGTTTCATAATGTTATGTAAATGTAAAGTTGGTATAATGGTTTAATGCTCTATTATTATTTGTGTAATCATGGGTTCAATTCCTTAACTAATAAATCGTTTTTTATGCGTAATACTTCTATTTCTCCACCCAAACTCCAGAAATATGAATATTTCAGTTTTTTTTTTGGAAATAACTTTAAACTTTCATTTTCCAATTTTTTTTCTAATTTTATTTCCTCCTACAAATTCTCAAATTTCATTCTAGTTCCCAAAATCTTTTTATCTTCCAAAATTAATTACAATCTCAAAAGTAAAAAATTCTTGTTTTCAACATTTTTTATTCAAAATTTCTATTATAATCAATTAATAATCAAAATACTTCATCCCTCAGAATTAACTTCACCCTTTTAAAATCTTAATTTCTAATGGTTAAATTTAATTTTAAGATGGCATTGATGATTAAACCGTTGTTTATCTCCCAAAGTGGGTATTTAATTTAATAAACAGAGGCCCATTTGGAGAAATTGCACAGGATCACACAAGAATTACGTCATGGTAGCCCCTGAATAATTTGTCTTACGGTATGACTTAATTGTAATATGATGTACGAAGTATAAGACACTTATTGTCTTATTGATAATATAATTACATTCTACTACAAGTTCAAGAGCCAGACAATACTTTCCAAATAGACACCCCAATAATGTCCCTCATTAAATTACCAAAACCATTATATGCTCATAAAAGCTGGACAACATACCATAATTGTATACTCACATAATATGAATTACCAGCTCTTATTAAATAAATCACAATTCGAACCATAATCAAGTTCTGATACTTGTTCAACACATTACCATGTAGAATATATCAAAGCACCCTAGAAGAAGGCATTTCCATGGAATTCATCATGTCTAAACAGAAACAACAAGAACTAGCCAAAACATGAAAGAAAACAATATTTGAAAATTTGGGCGATTCTAATGCAAAGTTATCACATTTCACCAACATTTTAAATGAGCAATTCTTCATCATAATATCTCAAGAATAATCATCCAAAATTCAAAACTTTTTACTAATCAAACAAAACAACTAAATAAAAAAGGCAACAAATTGACAAATTCTCAACACCAATTACCTCTTAGCACGCTTAGGATCAATAAGAGCAAGCTCTGCAAGCTTAGCAGCAGACATTGCCTTCTTAGCATCAGCATGAGAACCCTCATCACCCCCAGGAACAAGCATTTCCGGCTTAATCGACGTCGTCCCATCCATTGATTGACTATGCTGATGCCTTGCCCTCGGCCTCTCATTCCCGCCCCCGGATACCGCCTTTTCCGCCCCCGCCCCAGACGAAGCCTCCCCAATCTGAAACCCGGAATTCGCCGAAGTCGCCGAATTCACCTTGTCCATATCAATGTACATAGAAAACAAATCCTCCTCCGTTTCATCTGACAATGACGGGCCATCGGGCCCACCTCCGACAACACCAAGATCACTGTCGAAGCTAATATCATCGGGAAGAGTAAGAATCTCCGAATGTGCTCTTCTATGACCCATATTTTTCGGCGGATTATCCGGCATTCGACTCAAATCATTGCTAAACGACGTCGTTTGCGTTTGCGACGTTGTTGAAGAGGGAGAAAACGCCGAGAATCTTCCCATCGGCGGTAATCCGGCGCCGCCGAGCTGATCCTTTTCCATTAATGCAGAATTTCGAAACCCTAAGTTAACGATTTGGGGGAATGAAATAAACCCTAGAAATCATTCAAATTAGGGGAAATGATTAATTGAAGGTGAAATTAGATCTAAGAAAACGATAATTAAATTAATTTTAAAAAGAATTAAGGAAAAAAAAAAGTAGAAGGTGAGAGATCTGTGATGTTAGCAAGAAGGAAGAAATGGGAAGAAAAGGAGATTACGTTGGCAAAATTCGAACTTTTTCGAGGAGAGAAAAAATGTGGACTTTTTCTGTAGAATATGACGGCCATTGGCCACTTAGATAATATAATAAAACTATAAAAGTACTACTTTTTTTTTTTTAAGACGGATATAATATACTCTCTAAAATGTTCAGGTAGAAAATCCAAGTTTGTCACCGTGAGAAACTTGGGGGAAAACAATTACAGGACACGAGTACATATTTATCATTTTTAGAGATTCATCAACTTGCTGTTAAATTTCTACATGTTAAAAACTTTGCCATAATTATTATGAATAATAATTAAACAATTATACCACGGCCTCTAAAATGTTTATTTATTAATTTGGCCTCATTATTGTTAATGGCCTATTGTAAATGAGTAAGGCCATGTTCACTTCACCTTAATAAAATAAGTTCAGTTCAGTAAAAATAAGTTCAGTTCAGCAAAAATAATTTCAATTCAGTAAAAATCAGTAAACTTAAAAAAGAAATATAATAGCAATTCAGTAAAAATAATTTCAGTTCAATAAAAAATAATCCGAAGTTGTAATTATTATTTACGAACCGCTTAAAGTTGGGATTATCATTATTAATTTTTCCTAATTATTAGATGAGTGCAAATGTGCAATCCTTCTAAACGATGTCAATATCCTTTTTATAGTAATCTATATTGACTAGTAGTCGCATTAAGTGACATGTGGTGGAGTCACTACTATATCTTCATTTAAAGTCTAAACTAGCTTTTGGGCTCGTTCTACACACAGGTTGTGTATAAGTTATTATTTATTTACTAAAAACATTCATATTAAAATTCTTTAATTGCATGATAGTTATATAATACCTTGTATCAAATAATTGAAGAACAATCCCTTGTCATAATTTTACATTTGTAAATCAATATATGACAAAGTTTTTCTTCACCAATTTATTTTTCTTGCACCCTTAATATCTTGAAATTATTTTTTATTACATGCAAGCAATTTCGTATAATGAAATTAGTTCCTAAGTTCTTACACCAAATATCTCTTTTTTTTTTTCTTATCATTCATATCTTTCTTATTTGCCGCTTTATTTCATCTCATTTTCAATCATGATATTCATCGTTGCAACAATATTAGAGATATATATATATGTCTATCAATATATATTTATTTATTTTTTTGGTTTGGGGATATGAAAGAAATTTATATTAGGAGAAGATGTTAAGGATCAATGAATAAATGGCAAATTTAGTTAAAATAAAATTGAAAGACGGAGAGAGTGAAAGATGAAGAGGAAGAGGCCGGATAACATTAAGAGAATTCAATTTATTGTATTAAAGTGAAGGTCATAGAAATTAAAAGTTAAGAAAAGAAAAAAATTGTAAAGAAAGTTAAAAGGAGAGGGGTACATGTGGCGGATTGGTTTATATTTTGGTTAAAAACAAAGGTGTATATGTGCAGTGGCGGATTGATTTGTATGTTGGTTTAAAAGAGAGGTGTACATGTGGCGGATTGGTTTGTGTTTTTAAATACTAAGTATATATTTGTCAAAAACTCAAAATTAATGTTACTTTTGTAACGTTCATAAAAAAAAAATTAAAACTTTATTTAAAAAATTGCCACATATTGACACGTGTTGTTTGATATTCATCTAAAGTATCGGTTTATTAATTTTTTAAAACATTTAATAGTGTTTATTTAATTATTGATTTTTTATAAAGACATTCAATAGTCTTTAATGTTGTATATGTATTATTAGAAGTTGGATAAAATAGTCTTTAATGTTGTAGATGTAACTATTGATTGATTTGTTCATATGATTAAACATTTAACGGTCTTTAATGATGATTATTAAAAACATTTAATAGTGTTTTCCAAATTTATAATAATTTGTTTGAATATGATATCTTCTGTGATTCTAATTAAATGATAGTTGACAAAACATTAAATACTTTACCGTTATTAATTTTTCTCTTAAGAGTATATATTTCGTGACACACAGGGCTTGAATAGTGCCATATTGTTAAGAGCTGCATTTGGTCGAAGGCAAATTAAAAGGTTTGTTTAAAGTAATAATACCTTTACATTAAAATATACAGTGTTTAGTTTGTTAATTTTATAAATTTTTAATTTGTATAGCAATGGCTTTAAAAAGTCTAGCATACTTGGTAGCTTTGTTGTTATTTCTAATTAATCATGGAGCAAAAAGTTTGGCTAGAGAAGAGCTTGATTATGAAAAACAATTTAAACTACTCCAGAAAACTAGCGTTAAAACAATTAAGGTATGTTATTATTTATTATTCTTGATCTTTATAGAATGTATTATGAATTATATGCTCACCTTAGGGATTTTTTTTTAAAGATTCATATTTATTACAAATCGGTTTGACCTTTGGCACAACTTTATTATTACGCGATTTTGATTGAAAAAATATATCTTTGAAATTTTTATAATACTAGGCTACGTACAATAGCAACGGTCGATACTGGATTGGATCCAACTCTGTTTAATGGGCATGGATTCTGATCTATGAATTTTTTTATTTTTTTTTTACGGGAAGCAGAGTCAAATTTTATTAATCACTCAAAGGGCTTAAATCAGCCATTACAAGCTCAGAAATACTATGTGGAACTTCTTCCAACCAAACTCTAAGGCTATCAAAGGAAGGTGCCATTTTTGCTAATTCATGAGCTACATGATTACCACTTCTTTTCACAAAAGAAAACGAACAAAGCTGGCAACCCTTGGCAATCTGAGCCAAATTCAGTTGGAGGAGCATTTCCTTTGGAGACATGACTATGGAGTTTAAGGCAATCGGTCTCCACACATACTCTTCGAAACCCAGACTCCAAAGCAATACTCAGCGCATGTCTCATTGCGAGAGCTTCAGCAATATCAGCCCCAAACTTTCCTTCCACTCGCAAACAAGTAGCAGCCACCACCTCACCCACTGCATCACGCATAACCCCTCCTAAACCCACATAGCTCGAGTTGGGAATAGAAGCATCTGAATTAATTTTAATCACCCCCTGCACCGGCACTCTCCACCAGCATTCCAGATTTGTATGAACAGCAGCCATGGCATGAGGGTCTTGGGCAGTAGCGAAGTCACCAACCAAACCAACAGCTTTACGAATAACTTCACTAACATCCTTCTTCCAGCCTTCAAAAATCCATGCATTCCTTCGAAGCCAAATCCCCCATAATAAACTCCAAAAAACATCCCACCACATCGAGTCTTTGTGACTCTTTCGCACAGACACACACCATTCACCAAAAGTATCCCCATCAAAATTCTCCACCTCCAAGCGCAGCGGGGAAAGATACCAAAGAAGTTTAGCATCTTTACATGACACGGGCATATGCAACACACTCTCGACCTCAGGACAAATCGGGTCAACAGACATACCTCTTATCACCAAAGTCTGTTGAGCAGCAACCGCCCCTTTAATAGCACGCCACGCTCTGCCCTGCCTATTCCTTCCTCATGTCCTGCCTATCTCTCCCCTCTCATGAAAAAAAAAACATATGATGGCTTCTGAACTTAGGGAGCATATTATCAAAATGGAAGTTGAAAAAAAGGAGGATGAGTTGATTTTTCAAAAACTGTACACCCTCCTCCTTCCTAGTACAAACTACCAAGTGGTTCAATTAAGATTTTTTGAGCTAGCGGATGATTTGGAGAAAGTCAATTCTATCAATTGGTCTCAAGTTGTACTTAACATCTACACAAGGCTTTGACCGACTCCAAATCCTCTTTGAGTGAGAATGGTAAAAATCACCGTGTCTTCAATGGTTGTTCCCCCATTTTGGACGTTGTTTTTGAGAGGATTTCATGCATTCGTCCTACTGAACAAAGTCAATACAGTCTTCCCCTTAAGAAGTACTTTACTAGAAGGATCGATGTTTGGAATCTGAAACATTTGACTGCTGATAAAGTAAGTAGGAATTTGAATATTTTGAGGTATTAATTGACTACTTATGAGGTATTAACTCTCTTCTTTTTTCCAGATATTATCCTGCGACGTATGTCAACCTCCTCCCGCTCATCCTTTGATGCCACCTCGTGTGGAGATGCCATCACCGGTGGAGAATGAGGTAACTTCAGGATATCAAGGGTGAAATGATTGCTGTTAGCCTGACGTATTACTATGGTGAAGTTTTTTATCGCATTCTCTAATACCATTAAAAAAAAAAATTAAATAAAATTTTATTTTCTGATTGTTTGCTATTCTTGCACCTTATGATGTCAATTGTTTAACATCGCACCTTCACTTAAAATAATTGTCGAAAAACGTTCGAGCTGATTTTGATTCTCTCAGCAAGAACAGGGCATGGGAAGGATAAGTATTAAGTAGTTGCATTTATCTGTAGAGAATTGCCAAGGAACATTCTTCCCTGGGTTTAATTCATAGCTTTTCACTGTGACTGCTGAAGGTTACAGCACTGCTGTTAAGTTTGGGAAGTGTGGTAACTGGTTACGGCCTCAGCTACATTGCTGAGAGGGACACGCCATACCTCAAAACCATGAAGTCGTTGAAGAAAAGATTATACTGTAGTCAGTTGATGTGATAATGTATGGGGAAAAGAGAGGAATATCATGTTTGATTATTGCCATGATCTAGGCACTCTTAAACATCTTGTTCTTGCATAAATCCTTTGCACTAAAATGAGCCCCAATTCCTCATCATGAGAAACACTTTTGTTTCTCATAATGTCATTTTGGAAAATAATGTGATGTTTTTCACTTGTGGGGACCGCCTATGTGTAATGAGTGTAACTCTCAGATCTTGACACATACCTCATGAGAAACAAAACCTGTTTTTCACAATGAGAAACAAGGAATTTCCCCACTAAAGTAGTTAATTGCTTTTAGAGTGAAGCAAGTTTCATTCTTATGTTGTAGGCCATATTGGAATTAAATGTAAGGTTTCATATTTGAGGTTGGTTATTTGAGATTTGTAGCTTAGCGTTGTCTAAGGATGATTAGATATGCTTTAGAAAGGGCTGATTGGTTGATCTTTAAAATCGCAAGATTTTTTTGTTCCTTATTACAACCATAACGACATAACCTCAGTTAGTGTATAGTATAATAGTAGTAATGTAGTACCACACATCCGATGTGCTACCAAAAATATGAAACTGGACTTGTTTGGTAAATCCTAGAGATCAACTTGTAGCTACTCCTATAAGATGTTTTTCAATGTTTGTCTTAAGAGATTACTACTATTTGAGTGGATTTAGTATGGTGGTACTACCTTATTAGGAGGGTTCTAATGAACCAATACCAGCTCTGAGTCGGACTTTTTACAGTGATACAATGGACTGATTGTCTCTGCAAAGTAGTAAAAAACAACTCAAATAGAACAACTAAATACGCCATGTATGAGTATTACAAGTTTCTGTGGTGTATAAAATCTAAGATGGTTGCATGAGGTACTTATAATCTTCTTTATTTTTGATATTATCTAGAACATGGGAACAATAATAGTGGTTCAACTTAAACACTGCTTTTAATAGCATTGCTGTATGTATTGTCTTTATCATATGCTTTAGACCATAACATGACTCCTCCATATTTAGAGGAACCCTTGATAGCGGGTAGGACTTGAGATGTAAGAGCGTCTGCTGGAATAAAACCGCTGTTGGCAGCATCAGTGGACGCTGGTAGTCCGAGGAAGACCTGGCTAGCTTGAACTGATGTCCATTGGTTCCACGCATTTACGAGATTATCAATGTTGTTATCATATTGACAAGGGGGGTTGTTGTAGAACTGAACCCACACAGAGTCGAAAAGGCCTGTGTTTATGGCAGTGCTTAAGCTGGCATCTGGGAAGGGACATTGAGGAGCTGCTGATAAGATAACTTTATTCTGGGCATTGCTATGAGCTGATAAAGCTTTAGCTAGATCATCCCAGTATCTGTTGTCACCAGATTCGATATCGAAATCAATACCATCCAGAACCGCATCTCCTAAGGGTCTAGAGTTAGATTGCCCCCCTAGATAATTGTTCCAGAGATAATCGGCAATCTGGTTTGCATCATCGGTTGAGGACAGTGAATAGCTTCCAGCCCCACCACCTATGGAAAGGAGCACCTTGATGTTTGCCTGTTGGCATGCTTTGATGTCATTGCTTAGACTGTTACAATTTGTTGCAGGGTCACAATGCCCAGCTAGGTTCAGCACCGGGGTTTGCCCATTCCCAAAGGTGGCTAGGAAAGCTAGGATCACAGTACCATAGTTTCCGGAGCTACAAGTGTCAGCGAGACTTCCTTCATTGCCATCTTGGCCCCAATATATGGCTATTTGGGCGCCATGAGAGGACTTGAATGACGCAAAGATTAAGAGAGAAATTAGGAACAAAACTGATGCTATTCTGGCTGCCATGTCTGTTTTAGATATATGCAGGCAGTGTTTAGGTTGTGAGTTTAGCATTCGATAAGTAGCGATTTATATACATGTTGGAGTCAATGGGGTCAATGCAAGAAATTTATGGGCTTTGAAGTTCATGTCACAAAAGAAGCAAGTCGGTGGAAATTTTCTTAAGACTTAAGAGTATGCTTGGAAAGTCTAAGTCAAGCTATAAAGTCTGTATGGTATTGCTCTATTTGCCTAACTGGTTGGACTAGATGCAAAGTGTCCTAAATTGACAAGGAAATTGTTGATCGATTCAAGTAAGAGCATTATTTATGACACTTCTTACCCTGTTAGTTGTCTAATTGCAAGACAATTAGCCAGGTTTTTTACTAATGAGACTTCTGTGTTAACATATGCTATTCAATTTCTGAGCATTATTTATGACACTTCTTACCCTGTTAGTTGCCTAAAAGAGTAATATACCGCTCTGTCCTTTCTAAACCGCGTTCTATATTGATCTGAGTCATTTTTTTTTTCTGTATATTGCCATTCTGTTTGAGAACTTTTTTGCATCTAAATTACTTACCTTTCTCTTCTCTGTATTGATCTTACTCATTTTTGCTTTCATTCGTAAGTATCCAGTTCAAACCTTAAGAAGTTCGAATCAGTACTTTTTTTTAGTTTAATATACGTTTCTGGGACCGGTAGATTGAAAATTGAGCTATTTTGATTTACTGCAAAAAATTTCGTCACAGAATAATGCAATTTTGCTCACTTGCATATATGCATTGCCCTGCTATACTTTCAGCTATTCATTTTTGTTCACTTGTATATGCATATGCTTTTTCTACGATCTTTAGTTCCCAGCTGCCAATATGACTATTGGTCTATTGGTGCTTGGATTCACACTTTCTTCAAATTATGGGGCAAGAAAAAACTTGAGAAATTTCAGAAGTGGGGTTGGGGGAGGCATCTTCTTGGAAATATACTCGTGAATTGGCAACATCTTTTTTTTCATATTTTGAGGCCCACAAATAGTAACCATAGAAACGTAAGTGTATACTCGGATTTATCTAAACTAATTTTTGTGAACATTATTGTAACTTACTCCGTATTTTGTTTGTTTTAATTTTTCCTAAACCTATCTTGTTTTTTTTCGATGAATTTGTTTGCCTATTATATACTTTCTCTGTTTCTTAATGTACTTGCAACACTTCTCTTTTCACGTTTGACAATGTACTATTTCAATCGTTAATATTTTTAATTACCAATGTGTAAAAATTATAAAAATTTGATATATATTATGAAAGTATAAATCGAAACGAGTAAAACAAGATCCTACATAACTATATTTTTCCTAACCTATAAATCACCAAAACTAGTCAAAGTGAGATATTTGAATAGTGTAAAAGTCAAACTTTTGCCAAATTGGTCACAGCTTTGAAAAGGTACGGATTTATTCAATCATACTCTGATTATTCACTCTTCACATATACTAAGGGTGCCGTACAATTGAATGTGTTAATTTATGTCGATGATTTGGTAATTTCTGGGAATAATTCTGCAACAATAAAGGCCTTTAAGATTATCTCGGTTCCTGTTTTCACATGAAAGATCTTGGTGCTTTGAAATTTTTTCTTGGTATTGAGGTTGCCCGTAGCTCTAAAGGTCTATTTCTTTCACAACGGAAATATGCTCTGGATATTGTCACTGAGGCCGGCTTGTTGGGTAGTAAACTTGCTCTTTCTCCTATAGAGCAAAATCATCAGCTTGGGCGTGCAACCTGGGAAGTCTTATCTGATCCTGAGTCTTATCGTCGCTTGGTAGGACGACTTATATATTTGGCAGTTACACGCCCTGATTTGGCATATGCGGTACATATACTATCCCAATTCATGAATGAGCCTCGACAGGAACACTGGGACGGTGCATTACGAGTGGTAAGGTACTTGAAAGGTACTCCGGGGCAAGGTATATTACTTCGCTCGGATAGTGACCTTGGGCAACCTATCCTCTTACTCGGCGCTCTATCGCAGGTTGGTTGGTATTTTTGGGCCAATCTCCCATTTTGTGGAAGACTAAGAAACAACCCACGTTCTCTAAATCATACTCAGAAGCAGAGTATCGTTCTATGGCGGCAATCACATGTGAATTAAAGTGGTTGAAAGGCTTATTATTAAGTTTGGGTGTGCATCACTCAAAGGCTATACCCCTTTATTGTGATAGTCAATCTGTGTTGCATATTGCAAATAATCCGGTTTTTCATGAATGTACGAAGCACATTGAGATCGATTGTCATTTTGTGACGTGCCTACTACGGATCAATTGGCTGATGTTTTTACGAAGGCTTTAGGTGTCCAACAATTTGACTATTTGCTTAGCAAGTTGGGCATTCTTGACTTACATGCTCCAAATTGAGGGGGGGGTGTTACGATAATTTTGGGAATATTGTGAGAATACATACTTGATATATTTGCTATTATCTTAGTTAGGCATATTTCTATCTTTTCCTTCTACTGGAAGTTAAATACGGGTGTGGGCCGCGCCTGTCACGGGAGAGTGCAAGTCCACCACTTTACAAGACCAAGGAGGTTCCACCTCAAAACCATATGGCAATGAGGGGAGTAGCCCCTTAGTATTATATAGTGATGGTAACTCTTGAATTCTTTCAATGTGGGATTCCATTACCACTACACTCCCCCTTTAGTCTTTTTAGTGTGGGACAAGAGAATGCTCACATGTGGGTTGTTCATGGGCTCAACACTCCCCCTCACATGTGAGCTGTTCATAATTTTTGGCCCAGTATACTTTAGCCATTAAGGCCCCAATTGTGAGATCGGGGCCAGTGCCAGAGATCGTGGCCCTGGCCCTGGCCCCGATCAAAGCTTGTTCTCATTCACTCTATGCAACCATATATTTATACAAGCTGTAGGTCAATAATCAATTCCCTAAACTTACGGCCAGTAGAAGGAAAAGATAGAAATATGCCTAACTAAGATAATAGCAAATATATCAAGTATATATTCTCACAATATTCCCAAAATTATCGTAACAGTTTGAAATGTGGATGCAATATCAATCTCCTCATACACAGTGCTAAATATTCCGCTTGAAAAGAACGGTTGAAGAGATTTGAATCCCTATCCTTCTTGGAAAACTTAAAACCCAAGATTGGTTTTATTATTCTATTACTTAAAATGAGATAATAACATGCTATACCATTAACTTAAATAAGGAATACGTACTCATTATCAAAATAAATACTCTATTTTGACTAACACATTTGCCAACATGAAATTTTGATTTATAATTTATGTAATCATCAACAAGTATTAATTATAATAACTTGATACTTGGAAATTATACATTGAGGCAATTTTAACAGGCATCTACTACGTGACTATATCTAATCTTATAATGCACGAATGGTGGTTAAAGTGATGTGTATGAATAGTGTAAAATTCAAATCAAAGCATTTAAAATGGAGGGAGTGTCATGCAATGTGTTTTACACTAGTACCTCACTAATAAGCATATATATATGCATGCAAAAAATGCATTGTAACAAAATAACAAACTATGAATGATGCATTATTGTACATTTGCACTTAGAATACCATGATATAATTACATTATGTTTGTTATTTTTATAGGCTGGTCAATCACATTGTTTCAATATGGTATGTCCTGGATTTGTTAATGTTAACCATGAATTTCCTGTTCACGTCGTGCTTGAACCAATGTCAAAAAGAGGAGGCGTCGTACGTACACGGTACTTCAGTATATTTAAGGTAAATACTGAACCTTTTTTTTTTTTTTTAGTTATGCATCTATAATCTATTAAGTTCATTTTTTTCTATACTTGTTGATTTTTAAATACTCCCCATTCATTTTATATCTAGACGGTTAGTGTAAATATGGAATTTTAGAAGTTAAGAAAAATGTGAGTGTATAAGACAAAGTATGATTAGGTATAAAAACAAAAGTGTATAAATAGGTAATAAAGTAAAAAGGGTATGTTAATATTTGTAATTAATTATGTGAGGCTTAAGGTATAAGATGGCAAACGAGGTTAGTCATTAATAGAATAATTCAAAGTGAGTAAAGCAAAAGAAGGAAAAAAAAAAAAAAAAGCGGCCTAAAACAAATAGAACATGATGAGTAGAAGTGTAGAACAAAAGAAAAAAAACAAAACAGCGGCCTAAAATAGAACATGATGACTTGATGAGTAGTGTAGAACAAATACACAAAAAAAAAAAAAAAAAAAAAAAAAAAAAAAAAAAAAAAAAACGGATGAAATAGTTAACTATTGAAGTTCGTCCTTTTTAGAAAATTATATAATTTGAACGTAATCTTTATATCTTGCATACATGGTCAATTATGGACTAATAACATGTACTTGGTATGTATGTGTGACTACAAAGGATCCGAAAGATGGAAATTGGTGGCTTATAACAGGGTATATGAAAACCGTACAAGGGTTTTTGGCTGGGAAAGATATTGAATGGATTGGCAAATTCAGCAACATTTGTTTCATTTGGTGGAGAAGCATATCGCCCCGTCGATCAACCTTTACCACCTATGGGAAATGGTTACAGAGGTATCGCTGATTTATTATATGCCGCTCTTATTCATGAAATTACAGTATTGGATGAAAATTTTAAGGAAGATTATGACCCCTAAGAAACTAAGACGTATATGCAGTTTTGGACCAGGAAAATAAACCAAATCAAAGACAAACCTTGCAACTGTTGCAATCTCAAAATTATATATAAAGCTTAACATTAAGAGTACTATTTACATCAATTGATATTCTTCTTGTTAATATAGCTGAACGTTCTGTTTTATTCATCAACTGCACCATTGAGAACTACCGTATCCTACATTACAGAATATCCCGGGCCGCCACCCCCTTCGGGGACTGTCCACTCGATGTTTTGCTTTGGGTCTTTGATATCACATGCCTGAAGAATTAGCAGCAAAATAGAAACGTTAACCTATACTAATCTAGGTTTTCCAAGTTCTACTTCCACACTTCTAATTGATCATAAGTCGGAATTCTTGAAGTAAATTCAGATTGGAAAAGACAGAATAGCCGAAATATATTTACCTTGCAGTGGAGACAATTTTGGGCATTAATTTGTAGCTTCATGTCACCGCTATCGTCAGGAAGATACCTACAAGTCATGCAATACAAAACCATCAAAACTAATCAAAGGAGAATCACCACAAGCTAAGCAATACTGAATAGGACAGCTAAGAAAACATCAAGAACTCACTCATATACACGTGCTGGGCAATATCGTGATTCAGGACCAGCGAATTCCGGGAAATTCACCTGTTGAGGGATCAATGGATCTTTCAAACGAAGATGAGCAGGTTGATCGTGGTCATGATTTGTGTTGCTCCTAAGAAAAACATATATATAAGAAAATGTTCAAGAGTATTGAACATGCGGAAAAATATATCATTAGTATCAATCTATTAGGTTAGTTCAACAGATAAAAAGAAAGTGATTGTAATATCACAAAGTAGTTTCATCAACAGTTAGATAACCTTTGCAGTTTCCTATAAATATTCTTGAACATAGTATATTTTTCAGGAAGCCTGGAAAAACTATGCACAAGTACGTCGATTAGCATGAATACACATTTTGATTAAAGAGATTTTGAATGTGTTAATTTCATGAATATAACTAGTGTCATACTCTCATAAGTCTGCATTGAATTTCAAGGCCTGAAGGGATTCCATACAAAAGGATACAAGTCGGCCATGTAAGCAAAATAGCAGGTTCAATTAGCATTTACTCCGTAATAATTAGCCATTCAGTGACATGTTTCAAAAACTAGCACTTGTATATTCTTTTCAATATGTGTCTATTTTGATCTCTCATTTGTTTTAGACAAACAAGGTCTTACACTGGCTTCCTTTATGAGGACTGAGAGAGTCAGCACTCAGCAGCCCGGGGGTGGAGTCAGACCTGAGAATCATTCTCTAATTATTTGGGGTATGCTCCAACTGACCCACCTCACATTCCCCCATCTACATTATGTCATCATGAGGAACTGAGTTCAATCAGAGAATAAAGCAGTTGCTAGTGACAGCTTCATCAAGCGGCAGCAATAATAGTTGAATCATAATTGCACTTCAAAAATTTATATGGCAACAAAAGAATAAATGGCTAAAGCAACTGTAAATTACCTGTAAAGTGAAGTTGGCATGTCAAAGGAGATTACTCCATCAGGTTTAGGATAATGAATAGGAGAATGCAAGTTTGCCACCTACATGTTGGAGAAAAATAAAATATTTCAATGAATTCTAAGCACAAAAATGAAAAGGCGGGGAAGACATTAATTAAGCCTCATACTAAGTCGCCTGCAACTTTTCTAGGATGTGGTACATCCATCAATTTATGAATCAGATGGAGAAGAAGAAGAAGGAAACCTTTTGTGCAGAGAGCTAATAAAAGCACAAAGATAGGAAAGCAAATCAAGTAATCAGCTAATTGTTGGTCTATTTATTATTTATCATTATATGCAGCGACTATTCTCATAGGTATATCCGTATATATACAGAATAGATGATTGTGTTACCCCTGTTTCCAAGGCGAATTGTGAGTTCAACATAACCAATCACTATCTTTGTTTTATTTGACACAAAACACTGTCTTTGTTTCTACAGGTAAAGGAAGCTTGGAAGTCACAACTCACAAAAATCAAACACAATAATTTTGTCTTCAAAATAAACAGATTTATTCAAAAAAAAAAAAAAAATGTATGGTATCAGGTGATAACCTTAGCAAGACAAAGACTTCTTTCAAAGAGAATCAATAACAACAGTAATAAGTTGTTAGGACAATATCCACACTAGTTTCAGATATTAATACCATCTCTCCTAAAATGTTTCCCTTTCGACTTTTCACAAATATTGAGGAGTTTAAACGATTAATTATTAACCAATAGTGTATCTATATAGTGGGAAAGGGAAACTTGATTGGATCAATAGTAATTTAAAAAGAACAATCAAACAGGACAAATTATAATAAAAATGTTATTGGGTGGAGAGACTTAATAGCAACAACATATGGGAGATAGAAGTCTTAAGAGTAATGACCTACTTACATTTGTTGCTTCATGATCAGGCTTTCCATGCTTTAGAGTCCAAGGTGACCTTCCTCTAAGTATGTAACTGCCATAAATATATGAAAATGTCAATCCTCAGATTTACAAGAGAAAAGCCGGAAGGATAGGGCAATGTTAAAGGTTAAACTACAAATGATTATCGGTAGAGGTAAGGCATTACTGTTCTATAGCACTCATAGTCAAACCAGGGACAAGCCCATAATCAAAAGCCTGCAAAAAATGAATGGCCATTAGATTACTGAGATATCCAGAAAATAATGCCAAATATGCTGTAACAATCTAATCTTCCAACTCCAACACAGTTTACAAATTGCAAAATGTAAACATCCTATTCTTATGTCAATCAGCAAACATACACACGTGAAGGAAAGATTTTACAATTACCTAGAGGACATATGTAGTTATGTAAACACTACAATTTTGGCCAAAATTTTTGAGGTACCTTAAATTAATTATCTCAAAGTAGTATCCTCAATAACAAGGATGCATAATTTATCAGAGATAAATACAGATTACGTTTTTAACTGCTGGGCAGAGCAAATTACTCGTTTAATAATTATTATTATATGATAAACATACCCAAGACAAGTCAGAGAAATTACCTTTTATAGGTCAAATACTAAGACATGCACACACAATATATAGGATGGATTAAGCAGTATTGTATATCTAATCCTCAACCACGGGGGTGAAAGAAAAGAAAAGAAAAGAAAAAACATACTTCTCAATAGAAAAGTATCCTTTTATGGTTAAGTGAATTTAGACAATGCTCTTAATGATCAGAAAAACTCTCTACTTTACAACATAAAGGAGATTAGGACACCCTCCAAATGTAAACAAAAAGACTAAGATACCCACATAAGATAATTCAAAGCCTAATGTAATCTTTATGGGAAGCAAAAAATTAAATTAATGAGAGTACGTTAACTAACAGGCCGGTAGTTTCTTGCTTTGTAGAGTTCTTCCCATATCCAAGAAGTCCGTAACTTGTCCCAATATACTTCCATCATCAAGCCCTCATGCAGGAGACCAAAAGCAGATTCTGCTGCTAGCATCCCTTTAAAAATTCATTAGAAAACCGAAGATCTTTATCAGCAATGAGCGAAAATGTAAGATACTAAGTATAAGTTACTCAATTTGCAAAAAAAAAAAAAAAAAAAAAAAAAAAAAAAAAAAAAGCATATCTAACTTCACAGCATTGCTTTTCAAAGAAAAAAAAAAGGTCTTAGCAATTAAAAAGATAAAATGTGCATATGAAGATATCTGCCAATGATACTGGCATAACACTTGCTACCTTCAAGGCTTCAAGATACCAAACACAAAAAGGTAGTTCATTAGTTTGTTTACGAAATCTATAAGGAGCCACAAACAGCAGCGATGCAAATACTATTCGGTTTCAAATCTTCGATACCACCACTTGATAATTTACCAACTAAAAGCAGGTTGACAATTCATAAATGTTCATTCAGATGCATACAAGTAAGAAACCTTAAATTATACAGATAATTTTAGGAATTTTTAAAAAACAAGAGTGAAAAGTAAATTCATTTATGTGACACATCCAGAAATGCCTACCAAAAAAAAAAAAAAAAAAAAAAAAAAAAAAAAAAAAAAAAAATACTGTATAAAAATGAGTGGCTTATCATGTTATGGAAGATTGTGGCAACCTGTTTTAGTTTATTTAGGTAGAGTAAAAACACCACCTGATTTCATTGCCGTATGCGTTCCTTTGATTTTCGGTACGTTTAAAAAGCCAGCAGAGCATCCAATTACTGCACCTCCAGGAAAAACTGGATATGGAATAGACTGAAATTGGCTACCATCAATTCAAATTTCACATGTAGTAACCAGCAGATGATTGAATAAATAAAATTGTATATGCAAACACATCTGTGTGTTATGTGTGTATACATATTGCAAGTATAGTGTGGATTCACTTGAGTAGTAGAGTGGCTTTAGCCATAGGTGTAGGGGCTAGTGGCATCAACATAAAATGATTCCATAGCTAAACAAACCTATACTTCGTATATATTATCATACTTCTGGTACCTGAAAACCACCTTCATTCAGTGTACGAGCACCATACTGGATAACGCTGCCACCTTCAAGCATTGGTTTAATTGCAGGATGGTGTTTAAGTTTCTACACAAAATAAAATAGAGGACACCTTACAGTCTGAAAATCAAAACCTGAATCATATCTGATTGAACTCAGATATTTTTATTTTTGAAAACATGAAAAGTCTAAGATACCTGAAATTCCTCATATGGGTTCAGGAAAGGATTCTGATAGTTTAGAGCAACAACAAGGCCAACAGATACCTGCATCAAGCAGAGGTGACGAGTAACCATTAGTTTCTGCAAATGCAACCACTCAGCCACTGGTTTTGTAGCGCAAATTAGTCAGATGGAAGGAAAAGCAAATTTAGGTTTTTACAAAAGAAATCAGTTTGCACAAATTTTTATCAAAAATTCACATATGAAACACA